TTTCTTGCTCATGATGCTTTATATTTATATCACCTGGAAATCTAATAATAGCTAATGTTTTTTGAAAGTTTACTATGTTCCAGGAATTCTTCCAGGCTTTATTGCTCTTCAACAAGCCTATGAGGGAAGTACAGGGGGTTGTCCAATACTTCATTTTGTTATAACATTTATGAGATGCCATAGAAATTTAATATTTTTTAAATTAAATTTATTGGGGTGACATTGGTTAATAGCAGTATAAGTTTGAGGTATACAATTCTATAATACATTATCTGTATATTGCATTGTGTGCTCACCACCCAAAGTCTAGTCTCTTGTTATTATGTATCTGACCCCCTTAACCCTCTTCATCCTCCGCTACCCACTTTCTCTTTGGTAACCTTCATACTGCTGTCCATATCTATAAGTTTGTTTCTTCCTTTGTTACTTTCTGTTTTATATCCTAAATGTGAGAGAAATCAAATGGTTCTTGTCCTTCTTTGTCTGACTTATTTTGCTTAGCATAGTACTCTCAAGAACCATCCATAGGAACTTAACTCTTGGTTATATCAATTAGCCTATAGTAAAATTGGTTTCCTTATTCGTCATTTCCTTTAAACTCACAGAACCTATGGAAGACGTAAAGACTTACTATATCACTACTCTTCTCCCCCTTTTACAGACAGGGGGAAATGAAGCCCAGAGGATTTAATAAATTTTCCCATAGTCATTTAGTTCTTAAGAAGTAGAGTTAGGTGTTAGATACAGGCAGCCTGCAAAGACTGCTCCAAAGATCATGCTCTGGTCCTTTCTGTTATGTTGCTCAGGAATAAAATATCGATCAATGAGAATCTCTCAATTCCTTGATTCTAATAATACCACTCCTCACACTGAAAAAGATCTTGATCTCCATTCTCTAAAGCCCACCCTATGCCTATGTCTGGTGCAAGAAAAAAAAAAAAGAAGAGACTTTCATATCCGGGTTTTGAGAAAGCTCTCAGTGGTTCTCAGGCTCCACCTCAGAGTTGGTTCACAAAGCCCACTACACCTTCACAGTGGGTAATGGAAGGAACAAATCTAGCATGTGTTACGTGACAGGGCCCACCCTCAGACCTAAATAGATCTTTGTTACATCAGCCATACCACTGGGGTTAAAAAGAAACCCACATTATCACACCAATGTTTCCAATTACGACCTAGAAGGTATAAAATAAACGTTGAGTCTAAAAAAAAAAAAGTTTCAAGAAATGCCCTTGGTCTATTACAACAAAGACAAAAGCCTGGGACAGTCCTCAGTTAAATCTTTGCACTCCCACTCAATTTTTGCCCCTATTGTCTCTCTGGCCACCCCCATTCTTTCCACCCACCTGAGGAACCCTCATGCAACCCTGACATTCACACTCTCTGCTTCTGCCCCTCACTAAGTCCTACTGGCTTAAAAAATACTCAAGGCCGTCTCTCCTAATTTAAATTTTCTTCTTCATCTATTCCATTCTCCTATCAGCTGAGAATTAGAAAAGGAGGATCTCCCATGAAGTGACACTTTCCTTCCCTGAGGTATTAAGGAATCGCTAGAAGAACACCTTGTTCTGAGAGGAAGATTGGATGTCTTCTAATTAAAAGTTTATTATTAAACAGACCTAAACTAAATACAGAGTGACAAATACCTTGCTCTCAAAAATCTGCACATCGTTGCAGAGGTGTATGCTTACTATGTCTCTGGTGGGACTTAAGCGCTAGGATTGCATATCCCACTATTCAGCCTCCTGTTTCCTGCCACATGGGAGGTCTGGGGAGAGGAAAAATCAAAAAGCCTTTGTGGAAACTTAGTCACATACTTGTGGGTGAGGAAATAAAAGGGGAGAAATGAAATGAATAGGAAGCCTCTCTAAGACCACTCAAAACAGCCCTACATGCATAACTGAAGGAGACCTGGAATGGAGATGCATCATGGCCACAAACCTCCTTCCCTGCAGGTGGGCACAGTCAAAAGATGACCCACATTCATCTCCTTTCCTCTATCATCTTCCTCACTGGAACTAAAGATTTAGGTTGCCTAGCTCCTGAAGAAAATAATTCTTAATAATAATAATAATAATTGATAATAGTCTCTCCTTATACAACGATCTCCATCCCTTCTAAGTCTGACTTCATCTCAAAAAAAAAATATATATATATATATATACACATATACATATACATACACACACACACACACATATATGTAGAGAGAGAGAGAGAGAGTGTTCACTTGGGTCAACGTGAAGCATGGGTCTTACAAGTATGAAGAAAAGCCATACTATGAAGTAAAATGAGACAAAAAAAGAAAATCGTTGCTATCATCTTTGACTCCCAACCTGCCCCCAGAAATGCCAACATCTTCACAAATATCTCTCTTTCCTCACCTAGTCAAGCAACTGGGTAAAAAGTAAATGAATCATGTTCAATTTCATTGTTTTCTGTTTAATCAAAAAAGTATATATAATAGTTTTCCTTCCATCCTTTTTCTTGAAAATGCAAGCTAAATTAACTGTAGAACTGATTTTAAAATTTTTGTGAGCCGACCTGGTATCTAATCACTTATAGCACTATCCTATTACCAAACACACTTTAACAATTGATCAACTTTTAGAATCAACTCATTTATATTTAGAATACAACACCTGCCTGTATTTTAGCTTTCTACTGGGAATATATGAGCACAAGTTAGGGGCCAGGGAAGACACAGCTACGGGTACGAGAATGCCAAAAAAATGTTCCTGAACTTCAAGAGCAGAGACTGCTTTCTTATACATCAGCATCTTGGGCTTTCAAAACCAACTTATTCTTTAAAAAGGAGAGTTTATCAGTTGTAATCATCTTAGAAAAAAATATAAAAACACAAGCCAATACTTTAAGCATTGCTCTGTAGAAAAAATGGAGCATGCCTAGTCATACTTAAGGCCACACTTCTATAAAATGTAGCCAAATAAGGGGTATTAAGGGGCAGATTTTTCTTGACTATTTTTGTCAGGAAAAATTTCCCCCCTAGAATGGTTCTGATTGGCAGATATTTTCCGAGAGAAGACAGCTGAGGCCTGTGGTCATTTTATGTCAATGGCTCAAATGAGTTGGTCTTTTCGCCCCCCACGCTTATCTCCCCATTCTCTTTTTGCCAGTCCCTATGGCTACATCTCAACCTGCTACCCAAAATATGCTGATGGCAGTGGCTTAAAGGGACAGGAATCACTGCAAAAGAATGCACACAGTCAGATACATATCTTATGCAACTCATTGATTGAATATGCCTATGGTGATTTTTCTCAAAAACACTTGTCAGCTTAAAATTGTAAATGACTGGAACTGCTGGTATCTGTTTCATTTTGGCTATTAGGGTGGTCAGGATGTCTAACATAGGAAAGAGAAAATGACAAAACGTCCCAGAAATCAACAGACCCTTGTTTGGCTTGATTTTACCAAAATTAACCCTTAACTTAATAAATTGATTGATTGATTGGAGGCAATATCAACTATTTATTCTATCCTTTCTGATTAAAGAGAAATCAAACAAATGAAAAATAGTATTACACAGGTACAAAGTTAAGTTGTAAACTCTGAGGTAGAACACGCTTACTGTGGTTAAGTCATAAACCGTGTACAAATTTAGCAACAACTGAACTCATCATATTAGATGTTGTGACCTTTGGCACTGGCATTTTCCAGTATCGTTTCAGATAGCACAGGTTAAGGATGGCAGAAGTAATCTAATCCATTAAAGCCCAAGTCCTAAACAGAACTGCACTTCTGAAATAGCCTCAACAGAAGTGACACTATTTCACACTCACTTTTAAGGAACCACGAAAACATTTTAAAAGAAAGAACACACTCAAGCATGATCAATGGATAAGGATGAGCTTCAATAACAAGTTAGTCAATTAATAACACTCACAACATACACACCTAGGGAAATCTTTAGGGTAATGTGCTCACAGTAAGACTAAAAGACTTCCATCTTTAAAAGAAGTACTAAAAAGGAGCTGCTTAAAAAAAGAGAAAAAAAAAATTATAAGCTAGTGTATTGATTCTTTCTAATGTGTTTTTAATATGGTATTTCCCATGCAAGACACATGACTCCAAGCAAGTGTCTGGCTCCACTGCCTTGTAGCACAGAGTTACCAAAACAACCAGTGCAAGACAATCATCCATGGCTTAAAGGTTTTCACAAAAAATGTAGAAAGTGAGTAGTTCATAGCGCAGCGACAAATAGCTTCCAAAATTCCTTCACCTCCATCTTTGCATTAGGAATGCACCATTTAGCTGATATCACAAAATGCCCTAACACCATGGGGGACTAACACTAACTACTGAGGTGACTACCAGCATTTCAAGTCTGAAAAGAACAAAACCATTCACCAAAGTAGTTTACTGGCATTAATTTAAACTATGGGAAGGCATAGTTGTAGTGTAAAGGGAAAAAAATGAAATGAAAATAAACTGAACATTTTAAATGATTAAGAAACTTCATACCCATCTCATTTTCATGCTTTCCCCAATAAAAGTTTTACCAAATACCATATAATACTACATAAGTACCTAAATCTTTAAGAAATAAAACTAAGATTCAAAGTAGAGCCTTTTATATAGGCTCTTTCTTTTCCAGTTCCTTTCTCAGCTACCCGCCTTCTAATAAGACAAACCTTTGGCAGGAATATAAAAAGTATCCAGACATTTGAATGAATTAGACAAAGAAAGTCTAAACGAACAAACCCGGCACTTGGAAACGAAGCAGTCTTTTAAAAACAAAGAGCCAAAACAGAGGCTAAATTATATAATACTTTCTGATAAAGAAATTTACTTTTTAAAAATGAGATACACACAGCTCTCAAGGATCATTAAGGCAGTATTCTAAATTAATGTGTTTCAAATCAAGCTGAGACAGTAATTTCTAAGCAAAACCATTAGCATACACATGCCCCATATACAGTTCTTTAACAGATTTAAGATTCAGGTTAAAATCAATCAATACATGTACCATTACTTACTTGTTTCCTTCTGTAATGAGCGAACTGAGAAAGACCTAGAACAGTTGCAAGAGCACCTCCTCCAGCTAGAATAGTCCCTTTCACTGCCTTTTTAAATGCCATGTTTCAGCCTACAAAGAGAAAAAGAAAAAGGAAACAAGAAAAGTTAATTGAGATTTTTATTGTTAACAGTCTCAATAACAGAGAGAGACTGTAGGTAATGAAACTATGTTAAACTAGAAAAGAAAACACAAAATAAGGAAGTTACTAACATGCCAATTTAAATAAAACAATTCGAAAACAATACAAAAACAAAAAAAAAACCTAGATACGAAATTGACTACATAAAATTTAATTCCAACAGGAATTAAAGGAAGAAAAGCAAATGAAGGGACAACTGAGGATACTTAAACAGTATAAAGTCAAGAGAGCTGTGAAAAGAAATGTCATTGTGTATCTGACAAAACTGCATGCTGTCCTTGCAGATTTGTTCAATGGCTAATCCCCTCTACCAGAACTGGCAGAAGTCTTCAGTCACTCAACAAGACAATGAACCTCAGGCCTGCTCCAGGTTCTTTGGAAAGTGTTTAATTCAGACTGTGGTATAACTCCCTTCCTGAGTCTTCCCCCTTCCTAAGGAAGTTCTCACTAGAGCCCAAAGCCCACACACTTACATTTCTATCCCTAAAAGAGTTGACACTTTTCGGATAAAAGATCAAAGGATGGCATGCCTTGATCCTTTCACAAAGTGACAGTTTAACATTGATGTAATTAATCTCTTTCATTAAAGAAATTTAAACAACAAAAAAAGTTATCTTCTAACCAGAGTTGCATGACACCACCATCTCAAAGGAAAACCCTCCAGATCAAGTACTCTTTTGTGCTCACTGCACATTTCTAAATAATGTCTTGCTTTGTGTTAGCTCTTGACTGTCTTTCGCCTTTTTAAAAAGATATATTTCTACTATTAGATTTATGGAATTTTTTTAATCTTTTTTTTTTTGAAGACTTAAATATTCTCTTAACTTTTTCAAAGACCAAAAAAGGAAAAGCATAAAAATGAAAATTCCACCAAAATACTCTTGTCAGGTTTATTCTGCTAAAACAAAAAATAAATAAATAAATAACTCTGTGTGATCACTTAAAAAAATTCTTAGTTAATATTACCTGCCTAAGATTTATATCCTTGATAGCAAGTGGCACACCCACATCTTTCAGGAAAGACACTCCCTATTTTCCTGGATGGGCGGAGGTCTTACCTGTCTGGACAACACAACTTACACTCCACAGATATCTCATGACTAAAGAAAGTATTTAACATAAAGTCAGTTTTAACCTGGGATACTAAAGAACACATAGTATTCTCAATGTAAATTATGATACAGTGAAAATGTTTGGGTCCATATTGGATATGTAGAATCTATTAGCATAACTATCCTAAATCAAGGAATTTCAGTGCAGTTGGTAACTATGATTCCACAGAAATTTCATTTTAGAATAGTACAAATTATACACTAAAATAAAAGTTGGCATTTTTTAAAATTTTATATTTACTCTGATCTCATTCTTTCTGACAAACTCCTAAGTTCTAAGGCTCATCTTGATTATTAAACTCTCACCAGAAAATATTTCACATGCATATTTTCTCTGTTGCTGGAGGTCTCTTCTTTCCCGTCCCTTCTCTATCTTCTCTATATCAACTATCCCCTCTCCCAGTTTATGCAAAACAATTGGTATATGCTGGCTAGGGACCTCCATTCAGTCAACCCTAAACAAAACCTAACGTCCAAGGTTTCTCTGATAGAAAAAACCAGGACTTAGACAATTTGGAGGGTACCAATTTGTGAGAGCTCACCATCACCATTCCTAGTACTGCTGCAAATGTTCACATGGGTGCCTATCACACAATAGAAACCCTGGAAGCCCAGAGAGAACATGCTATCTCCAGGGTGAGTACTCCTGACAATTTGGGACAGAGAATAGAGACTTAGTTCTATTTACCTAAACAATGCATGTGCCCTCCCCATATACACAGCAGCCTGGTGGTCTCTTGGATGTGTTTTGTAGCTGACTGACTTTAGTTCAGTATCATTGCTTCTGTCTTATTGATAATGTCATTGATGACCTCACAAAAGAGCACACGTCAACATAGCCAACTGAGGGTTGTGATATCACAGCCAATGATAATGTCTCAGCAGTGATATTCATTTGGCCAGTTAAGTTTGAAGTTAGTATTTCCAAGGTCCTTGTATTCTTTCCTCACTTTACTATATTGCTTCAATTTCATTTGTTTGAAATCAAAACTTGCTAAAGGGATATTTTCATGGATTTTCTTAATGAGCCACTGATAAGAATGAAAAACTGCATTACTATATTATTTTGCAAAGTTAGCAATAATATTGACTAAAATAATAGTTTCTTTTTTCAATAATTTCATAAAATAACCTATGCGATCATTATTTTTATTGTGATCAACTTCATCTATAAGATCATCTAGCTAGTTATAATGAATAAATCACTATTACAGGTAATTCAAAAACAAAAGCACAGAATCAATTTTACTTGGCCCTCCCAAGACGATGGCGATGATAATGACGGTGATGATGATGATGATGATGAATTTTATAATGATGGCAGTTGTCATTTATTGAGTGTTTGCTAGGTAACAGGTACCATGTTTTTTAATTCTTTATATATATCAGCTCATGTCAACTTCATAATATCCTAATTTCATGCAGTAGGGGATTTGCCCAAGGTCATTCCCTAGTAAGTGACAAATCTACAACTTAATCTATGTTCTTAAGCACTGAGTTTTTCTGTCCTGCCTCTGTTCTCAAAAAGCAATTTCTCTCCAAAAGCCACACCATATTTTGCTGATGTTCCCAAAATAAGGCCCTATTCTCAAACATTCACCCAAAGTGTACAGCTCCCTGACATTAGGATTTTGCTAAGGCAGTGAACAAGCTTCTAGTAAAATATCTACTAGTAACCTTCTGCCAGATAATGTAAGAACTTTGTTTTAATGTTGAAAGAAATTTAAACAAGATATAAACCATATGCTATGAACTACTTGTATCCATCTAAAACATTTCATTCTAAGGAGAAAAGTTTTCACAATGATTACAAGAAGAAAAGATTGTTTCCTTCTAAGTAAAAGCTATAACCAGTAAATTAGCAAAGAAGGGGAACAAATATATTAACAAATCTTAACCTTTTGCAACAAATAGTGTGAGAAAATTGGAAGTGGAAAAGAAAACTGGAGATAGAAAAATCATCCAAAAATAAAATTATCGCAGTTATCATAGCCTGATTGCATGTTTAATAGCCTATAAATTAAATCACAAATCCACTGACTCAAGAGTAGCCCCTGCATTTGCAAAAATCAGTCTGAGCCCTCTAATTCTTCTTAGGAGAACACCAGCCCAACTAAACAAAACCCTAAACAAAAAAATATTCAACTAAATATATCTGAGAAGTTTTCAATTGCCCTCAAGGGGATCATAATCAGTTTTCAAGATTAAATATCAAAGTCTGTCTTGTAACTCTGTCATATAACTGTGCTATATTGAGTGACTGAGTGTTATCTACACTCTGATCAACAAAAGACTCTGAATAGCTAAAGCAATCTTGAGAAAGAACAAAGCTGGAGGCATCAGAATTCCTGATTTCAAACTATATTACAAAACTACAGTCATCAAAACAGTATGGTAATTGCATAAAAACAGACATACAGATCAATGGAACAGAATAGAGAACTCAGAAATAAACCCACAAATAATGGTCAATTAATTTTCAACACAGGAGCCAAGAATATACAATGGGGAAAGGATAGTCCCTTCAATAAAATGGTGATGGGAAAACTGGATAGCCACATGCAAAAGATTGAAACTGGACCACTATCTTACGTCGTACACAAAAACCAACTCAAAATGTATTAAAGATTTAAATGTGAGACCTGCAACAATATAACCCCTGAAAGAAAACACATAGGGTAAGCTCCTTGACGTTGGTTTTAGTGATAATTCTTTGGATTTAACATCAAAAGCACAGGAAATAAAAGCAAAAATAAACAAGTGGGACAACATCAAACTAAAAAGCTTTTAGTTTGTACAGCAAAGGAAAATATCAACAAAATGAAAAGGCAACCTACTGAATGGATAAAATATTTGCAATATCGTATATCGGATACGGGGTTAATATCCAAAATATGTAAACAACTCACATAACTCAGCATAAAATAATCCAACTTAAAAATGGGCAGAGGGATTAAATAGATTTTTTTCCAAAGACATAAAAATGGCCAACAGATACATGAAAATGTGCTCAACATGACTAATCATTAGAGAAATGCAAATCAAAACTACAATGAGATGGCACCTCACACACACACAAAAAAACAAAAGACAGCAAATATTGGCTAGGATGTGGTGAAAAGGGAACCCTGGTGCATTGCTGGGGGGAACATAAATTGATACAACCACTATGGAAAACATTATGGAGGTTCCTCAAATAATTAAAAATAAAACTACCAGCAATTCCGCTTCTGGGTCTGTATCTAAAGGAAAGGAAATCACTATCTCGAAAAGCTATTTGCACCTCCATGATCACTACAGCATTATTTACAATAGCCAAGACATGGAAACAACCTGAGTATTCATTGACAGAGAAATGAATAAAGAAAATATTATATATCAACCATAAAATAAGAAGAAAACCATGCCATTTTCAACATGGATGGACCTTGAGGGCATTATGCTAACTGAAATGTCAGATATGGAAAGACAAATATTACATGATCTTGCTTATTTATATAAGCTAAAAAACCCCAATTCATAGAAACCAAGAATAGATTGGTGGTTGCCAGAGGCAGGGGGTGGAGGGAGAAGGAAATGGGTGAAGGTGGTCAAAAAATACAAACTTCCAGTTACAAGATAAATAAGTCCCGGGGATGTAATACACAGCATGGTGACTATAGTACAATACTGAATTGCATATTTGAGAATTACTAAGAAAAAAACCTTAAAAGTTCTCATCACAAGAAAAAATTGTAACTATGTGAGGTGATGGATATTAACTAAACTTATTGTGATAATAACATTGTAATATATGGGTATGTCAAATCATTATGATT